TCAGGCTGGCCCTTTGGAGTAGAAGAGAGATGACTGTCCCTTTTTTCTGCCTAGTGTCTCTCTTCCTGCCCCAGCTTACTGTCTGGGTCCCAAGCAGGAGGAAGAAAGGCATGGGGCTAGGAAAGTTCTTTTTTGACTCCTGATGTCATAAGCTGACATTTCCCCCTTTTAACAACCTCACAGGGGGGATTAAATTCCAACACATGAACTCTTGGGGTACACGTTCAAAACCATATCCAAATCATAACAATAATTAAACAAAAACAAAGCAAAGCTAACAAAAACACTTTTGACTATGTCCTGATTAGAGGGTGGAATAAAGAAGGGGACATAATGCCATCTTGCTCCTTCATGATTTACCAATTGTGTTCTAGTTTTCCAGGTGAAAACAGAGAATTATTTAGCATTTATTGATTACTTATACTTGAAAATGAGTTAAATATGGGGTGAGAAAGGATTTAAAGAAGACTTGTTAAGTTTGATAACTCTGTGAGACATCCAAGTAGATGTACATGAGGTCACTTAGTATGTTGTCTGAAGTAGCAGTTCTTAAAGGTCAATGTTGCATTAGTCAATTTTCTGTTGCTGTAACAAAATACTCAAGATTGGAAACTTTATAAATAAAAAAGTATTATCTAGACTTACCATTTTGGAATTTGAAAGTTCAAAATTAGAGACCCCAACTATTTGACCTCTGGTAACATCCCCCTTGGCCATATCACATTATGGGAGGGATCACTGTGGCAGCAAAATGTGTGTGAGAAAGAGGGCAGTCATAAGGCAAGACAGGAAGACAAGGAGATGCAGGGGGCAGGCTTGGTCTTTTTATAACAACTAGCTCCCAGAGAACTAGACCCAGTCCTGCAAAAACTACATTAATCTTTTTTGAGGGTGAAGCCCCCAGTGGCCTAATTATGTCCCACTAGGCTTCCCTGCTTAAAGGCTCCACCACCTCTCAATGTCACCACCCTGTGGTCTAGTTTCCAGCACATGAACCCTTGGGGGACACACTCCATCCATATCCAATGTGCGACAGAATAGCCAATGTGTGACAGAATCACCCAGAGAAATAACAGAGGTGGCTGAGTCCCACCTCCAAAGTTTCAGATTAAGAAGTTCTGGGTGGAGCCTGGAATTTGCATTTCTAACAAGTTCCCAGCGGATGCCGATGCCGCTGGCCCAGGGTTCCCACTTGAAGAACCACTGGTCTAGACAGAGGATAATTCTAGGAGTCATCAACGTAAAGATAATGTTTAAATCCGTGGGACTAGATGAGATTGCCTAATGAGGCTGTTCAGAGAAATGAGAAAGGGGAGAGAGAGAGAGAAGAAAGGCCAAGCAGAGGCAGAAGAAAACCAGGACAATATGGGGTTTCAAAAGCCAGGGAGTTCAGGGTTCCCCATCGAGATTGATTAATCATGGAAAATACTGTTGAGAAATAGAATGAAGAAGAAAGCAGTAGTGTCCACAATCTATCAGTATTAGAAACATGGTCAGGAGCAATTATTTGACAAATGTCTCACTATGTTTCCCAAAATGCCATCAAATGAGTACTGTTGTCTCCATTTCATAATGAGGAAAACTGAGGCTCAGAGAGTTTATAAGGTTTGTTAGGGAGCAAGAGGCCCACAACCACAGGTGAGAGGTCCAGGCAGGTGTTCTGCTCATTCCTCCCCAGTATCCAGGGTGCTGTGGCTGCCCCATCACCTCCCAATGATTCTCCTTTCCCTTCCTCTTTACCTGCCTTTCTGGTCAGGTCCTAATGCCTCCAAGTTTTTCATTTGCATCCTATACTCAACACCAGCCTGGGCCTCATTCCTTCTCAATGGCATAAAATGATCAAATGGTAACAGGTAAAAGTGGGTGCTAATTGGCATTGTGCAGTAGAGGGTTTTTGTAGGGCTGGAGATTTAGCCTAGGGCCTTGCACATGCTGGGCAAGCGCTCTACCACTGAGCTACATCCCTGACCCCTGCCATAAAGGTTTAACATCCGTCTTTCTGATTTGTAGTGTTTGGCGGTTTCAAGTCACCAGTGTTGATTTCAAGCCATCAGTGTGATGTGACTCTGGAGTTGGGAAGAGATGCACACAGCTGGCTCTCACGAGCTGCTGTGAGCTGCTTCCAGCACTCTGCTGGAATGATTTAAAACGTTGATTTTCATGTAGCATATTTCCATTCTGAACAGGGCCTTCTGGAGACAATGTCTTAACCACAAGTTGTGGGAACTTCAGGCCCTCTGCCCAGCCCAGGGGGAGGAGACATTAGGAACAGGAGGCCAGTGTACAGAGAAGTGGTCACCTGCTTCCTCAATGTCCCATCTAGCTCAGAAGCAGTGAAGACAGCAACTTAAAAGCTGGCGTTTATTCTGGTTTCCAAGGCTCGAGAATGTTCTTTTATGGGGATTACAGGCTTGTTCTTCTTTGGTGTCAGCAGGCGTTTATGATGGTTGTAGCAGGAATGAGAATTTAGGTCTGGAATAAGCCTTTCTGTTTCTTGCCAGCCTGTGAAGGTTTACAGTGGAGAACAGACATGTCTTGTTCGCACCCATGTGCTACTCTGTTCCAGAATCAGAGGAGGAGGCCACATGCTCACACAGGCAGGGACAGCTGCTGTGGGGTCAGTCCTGAGCAGGAGAGATTTTTACTTCCTCATGTAATTTCCATTTGCTCTTATTCTTTTATTCCTAGAAGCACAGGCCACAGAATGTGTCTCCTGGGAATTAAGTATGTGATATTGCCGTGGATGGTGTTGTAATAATATTACCTCATACTACCTAGTGAGGAGGGGATTGAGTTGGGGCAGGGAGCAGGGAGGACCAGGGGCCTTGTTGGGAAGAGGAGGTGAGCAGTAAGAGCTAGAATTTGGCACTGATGTGAAAGTAGGGGGAACATGGCTGGGAGATCATTTGATAACTCACAGAAAGTATTTTGTTGCAATCTGATTTTATGTCTCTGCTTTGCAAGTGGACACGGTTAATTTAGGAATAAACTTTTCAAGGCTCAAGGTGGTTTTTTCAACTTGGCAAATAGAGAAGTCTGAGGAAGACTTATGCTTCACTGCTTTTTATAAGGAGCTATGGCATAGTCAGGTCCTAGCCCCCAAAGGCATCTGGAAGTATCATGGCACTGGGCAAAAAGGCTTCTAGAAAGGACATAAGCATGGTCTTTGGTTGATTTTAGACCAGCTATCCAATTCAGTGTTTCCCTGTCTGGGCAACTTTTCATTTACAAGACTGTTTTATTATGTATAAATTGCACATTAAGGTCTATGAACTGCCAGAGATATTCCTAGGATCATACTTGAAAACCACATATTTTTATCCAGTGCGCTCAGGTGCAAATTCACTCACACACGCATGCATGCAAATCAAAATAACACTATATTTATAATAATATTTTGCAATTCTCACTGCCTTTCATCTGTAGATCTCCAGGTACTTTGCAAGCATTCATTAATTCTCCCAACATTCCTCTGAGGAAGGTAAACATTATTATCCTCCCCTTTACAGATGAAGCAATTGAGTCAGATAAGTGATTTGCCTGCAGCCAGTGAGAGAGTGTGGGTGGAGGGCTGAGATTCTGAGCTCAGAGTTCCTAGAGATGTGCATTAGGAAGAGACCCAGCAGCCCAAACACAATGGGTGCTAAGGCCTGCAGCATGTTGGGTGTTGTTGAGGGTTACCTTTTCCTATTAGATCTATCACCATGGTAATAATTGCTATGACTTATTAAGCATCTATTATGTCTTGGGTGCTTTAAAGTATATATTATGTCCTTTCCTTATGTTGAAACCGGAATTATCCCTGTGGTCTGGGGGTGCTGGAGGGGGCGACTGAAATTTATAGAGATGTACCCTCCTGTCCAAGATCACATAGGTAATAAGTGCCTGGGCTGGAATTCAAACCCAGATGGGTCTGCCTCCCAAGATTGTGTGTGTCCTTTTCCCCAGCTCACACGCATGCTCATTTGAAGACTGCAGGGAGGCACCTTTCTACCCATTCACATCTCTTCCTTTAGACTTTGAACGCTTATTTATCCTAGCTGTCTACCATCAATTTCTTTGCCTTTGACAAAATTTAGGGACTGAAACAAAATGTCTAATCAGGACAGACAAGTTCTAAGCATGAGAAAAGGTGACCATTAAATTTAGAAGTATGTATGCTAAGTCAGGAGCAAAAACTTTAATTATTATCATTTTTCTTCATTTCATGTTATTTCTGGTGAGTGTGTCAGCATGGCATCTTTAAATAGAACAAAGAAATAGCCACAAAGAGAGAATTTGGATTCTCCTGGGGTAGATCTCTTACCAATTGCACTGTCAGAAGAGTCAAAGGAAAATCCAAAGAACTGAAAGTGCAAGATGAATTTCATTTTCTTTTAGTCTTCAGATTCTTCAGAGTCTTTCAGGAAGTGAGCCGAGCTCTTTCACAGTTCAGCTTTCAGTCAGAGTGGTGTATCTCACAGGCTGGGAGAAGCCATACTATCTGTGGAGTTGCCAGAGTGTTGCTGGAAAGATCTGGGAGTGCGTAGAATTGCTGAAGTGGGAAGCACTTGGGACAGGGTTCACCTCAGACATATAGCAGGGCAGCCTACTCAATGATCAGGAGATGGTTCGGCTGAGCCTCTGCAGTGGCTCCTGGAGCTGGTTCATAAGGGTAGAGTGGGGGTGCAGGTAGGAGCCCCCAAGATTCAGTCAGTGAAACCAGAAGAGATAGAATCTACACCCTTTAAAATTAGACTGAGAAGTTGGCTTTGTAGTTTGGTTCATTTTGTGAGTAAGATAAGAAAAACCAAATTTTAATCACAACTTATTTGACACTGTGTTTTTCTTGGAGCAGTGAGTGCTGGCTTATAAAAATTAGTGCTTATACAAGAATCTGAACCCAGCTGACTTGTCTGTTGTGTTGGAATTCTTTTATAATTAGTTTAGTTGTAATCCTAGTGCTGTTTCCCAGCCACCTCCTCTCCTTACACGATCTACACACAGTTCCTACCATGTTGTTGCCATATGCTTAAAAGCAAGACTTTAAAGACCTGATTACAGTTGGGTGTGGTGGTATGTGCCTTTAGTCCCAGCTACTTCAGGAGGCTGAGGCAGGATTGCTTGAGTCCAGGAGTTTGAAACGATGTAGTTTATTTCATTTAAAAAGCAAAAGAACAATTGATTACAAATAGTTTCTCTTGGTTTAGTTCAGATTCCACATACTTGGGTTGTGAGTGTGTGTGTGTGTGTGTGTGTATGCGCGCACACACACCCTTACAAACATATTGGGTGCATAGAAGGCAAGATGCACAGCAGGAAAGAGAGAATATGTGTTGTGTGTGTAGAATAGTCTTGTGTTTATGGTAGCGTGACTGATCATCCTTGTTTGCTGAGGACTGAGGTCTTTCTTGGGCTGCAGGACTTTCAGTGCTAAACTCCAGAAAAGCCCAAGCAAACCAGGGCAAGTTGATCACCCTACTTGGTGAAGATGTTAAACTAAAAGAGATCCAACTCAAGCTTTTAAGGCATCAAGTTTAAAACACACCAAACTATGAACTGACACTTCTCAAGATACAAATGTAAGACTATCCTCCACCCTACCCTATGGGATAAATTAGCACTACACAATTGACAAGTAACCATAAATATCAGAAATCCAAATTTTTTTCCTTTTATCTTCAAAGTCACAGAATAAGGATTCTTCTTCTTCTTCTTCTTCTCCGTCTTCTCCTTTTCCTTCTTCTTCTGTGTCTATGTGTGAATGAGAGAAAAAAAAAAGAAAACTTTCCCACAGTATTTATTCTGCACAGCCCCATAAACACTTTTGAAAAGTGCTAAGAGGAGTCAGTGTTGGTAAGGGGACCATAGTGGCAGGTGGCCTGCACCCCCTCTGAATGAATGACTGCAGGGGTCTCCACCAAGCCCGAGCCCGGGGAAGCTCAGAGTCCTGATGTGCTCTCATGCCACGCTTACCACGTAACCATTACAGAGCAGAAACCTCTGCTAATCCTCTCCTATAGGACAGCGGGAGTGTTAGCATTTTTGGACTGCTTCACATTCCTTCTTGCCTACTTTTGAGAACGTACTACATTTTAAAACTTGTTGGTTTCTTTCATGTTTTATTTGACCCTATGTAATTGCATTCCTGAAGGAATAACAGGCCCCCCTAGTGATTTACACCCTGTATTAAATGTCAGTTTTGAAGAGACACAGTTAACAGTTTGGTTTAACCTCCCGCCTTCCCTTTCTCTATTAGCTCAAAACTGAATTTGAGCCCCAGCTCTAAGGACTCTGAGAGCAGGATGAAAAGACAGAAAATGAGCTGGAGCAGCAGCAATGTTGAAGGGAGACTTGGCTCTTGCCCTTCTTACGCTTTCCCCTGTGGATCCAGTCGCTGGTCCAGAAGACAAAGACATCCCTTTCCCTACCTGCTGTTCACTGCTGTCCCCACACAGTTGCTTGGATGGCAAATCAGAACCTCATCCTGGACTAACTCAGTTCTATTTTATATTATCAGCCATGGCCCCTGCCCTGGGGACTCAGCAGTTCCCAGAAACCATAGTTCCACCTCAGCCAGCAGTACCCTGTGAGTAGTGGGTTTGATAAAGCCATGGGGGTGTGGGGGGATATCATCTTAGTAATTTATCTTATTTCATATATATATATATATATATATATATATATATATATATATATATATAGCTGCTATGGTATTGTTGGTTAAAAATATTTCATTTACCCTTGTCGTTTCACTTAAATTATATTTAACAACTGCTGTTAAATAATTATTCAGAGAACCTTTAAATAAATCTTGATACATGGCCTATTCCATATGATTGTGTGTGTGTATGTTTAAAATCTAGAAATGAATATATCCCGTGTGATAATCTGTCAGGTGAGTTGCCATTATTATTTTCAGAAGTTGTCTATGTGGAACACTAAATTCATCCTCCGCTCTGTTCCACTGTTCCCCACTTTTCTTACTCTCGCACTTTGTCCCCAGTGACCATACTAGGCTTGATTGTAAATGACTGCAACTTGACACTAGGGAGAGAATTAAGTAGGAAGCAAAGACAACTATGCTCAATTCTCTGCCAGTATGAAGATGTGACCTAGTTTGATCATATCAGCTCTGCAGACCTTAATCCTCAACTCCCACTCTAAGGCCACTTAACAGCCATTAGCTAAGTCCTTTAACCTGGAACTCTGCGTCTACAAGGAAAAAAAAATCACAGAGACTTATGAGATCAGAAGTTGGACTCTTTGGACTGTATTTATCTTGATTTTATTTCCTAAATTATGTAGTTTATAAAATAGATAAAATGATGAAGAAATTGGGGCCAAAGGTAAAATGAGGGTAGTAGAAATAAGACAACATCAGAGTAATAAGCAGCCATGAAAGACATTAACCAGCTGTAAAGTAAAACAATCATCTGTCACTGCCACTACTGCCATCTAGCTACTGCTAAAATGGTGTACATGTATATTTAATATTTTTTTTTTTTTTTGGTACTAGAGATTCAACCCAGGGGCACCTAACCACTAAGCCACATCTTTTTTTTTTTTTTTTTTCATTTTGAGACAGGGTCTCACTAAATTGCTTAAGGCCTGCTTAATTGATGGGGTTGCCTTCAAACTTGCAATCCTCCTGTCTCAGCCTCCCAAGTCTAGGGGATGACAGGTGTGCACCACAATACCCAGCCAATATAGTATGTTTAAAGAATACAATTATTGAATGCTATTTCTATTTTAAAAAACCAAGAATGGGCCAGGTATGCTGATGCACACCTGTAATTCCATTGGCTCTGGAGGCTGATGCAGGAGGATTGTGAGTTCAAAGCCAGCCTCAGCAACTTAGCAAGGCCCTAAGGAACTTACAGAGACCCAGTCTGTAAGTAAAATATATATATATGGCTATGGATGGGGCTGGGGATGTGGCTCAAGCGGTAGTGCGCTCGCCTGGCATGCATTCGGCCCGGGTTCGATCCTCAGCACCACATACAAACAAAGATGCTGTGTCCACCGAAAACTAAAAAATAAATATTAAAATTCTCTCTCTCTCTCTCTCTCTAAAAAAAAAAGGCTATGGATGTGGCTTAGTGGTCAAGTACCCCTGGGTTCAAACTCTAGTACCAAAAAAAAAAAAAAAGAAAAGAAAAAGAAAAAAAAAGAATGGATAATTATAGCTTGTATCACATTCCAAGTGATGCATATTTTCTAGTTGCCAAATCCTGCAGAGATAGGCCCTATCTCCCAGAAATTAAAAAGGAAAAAACTTACAGTTCATTTTCCATTCACAATAGACAGCCTTTACACTTGCTTTTATTTATCATTTCCCTTAGTGCATTACTGCTATTATACTATTGTTAATTTTCATTATTATTTTTGTTGTCATAACTCCAATGACTATGGTGTAACACTATGATGATAAGAAGTCTCTGGACCAAGTGTATTGTAAAAATCTTGTTTTCTAATACTGCAGAAAGAACCTGAGACAATGATTTCAGTCTTTCCTTATTTGAATCACATTAGCATAGAAAGAGATCACGATAGTTTTTCTTGTTACCATATATACTCACAGAACATTCTCTCCAGAACAAGATGTGCTGTTTTTTTATGACACTCAAATTTTCACAAGGAAAAAATTCAGTCATAACCATATTGTGAATGTGTCCTCTAAGAATCTATCACATGGAAACTCAAGAGAATGTGTATCCAGTGCCAATGATTTCTTGGCCAGTCTTTGAAATTTTCTGATCTCAAAAATTACATTCTAATTAGCGTCATGTATAACTAACTGTCAGGTTTCAATATGTATTGAATTTCCCAAGAGACTGGGATTGTAAACTGTAGAGGTGTTGAGACCTGGGCTCAAATCCTGTCATACCTGTCTATGGGGCTGGTTACTTCACCTTTGTAGCTTTAGTTGTCTTATAGTAAAAATGGGGCTAATATAGGAACTGCAACCCATAAAGCTGATGTGAGGGTTAAATGGATAATGTGGGTTAAAAGGTTAACGTAGTACCTGTGGGGTGTGTGTGTGTAGAGTGAGCACTGAAAAAAGTATCAGTAATTGATTATAAACACCATTTTTCCTGCCTTAAACTTTATTGTACTTTTTGGGGAAACATTTGTACCTCATTTATGATTTATTTTGTGATATTGTGAGACTATTAATCAATGCCAATGTTTCATTCTCTTGACCCTTGCAAGCTGAGGCAGAAATAAAAATCCATATTAAGTGCTCCAGGCCAGTCTGATATTTGGTATTTAGAGTAAACCTATTGCTTTTAAGGTGAATACACATTTATTTCCATTCTGAAACGCCAGATTATCATATGATGGATTTTCTTTTTTTATATATTTTTTAGTTGTAGTTGCACACAATACCTTTATTTATTTATCTTTATGTGGAGCTGAGGATCAAACCCAGGGTCTCACTCATGCTAGGCAAGTACTGTACCACTGAGCCACAACCCCAGCCCCATATGATGGATTTTCTTAAAGTGATTTTTTTAAAGGGAAGGATTAGCAGTTTGCAAAACTGGCATTTTTATCTCATTGTTGGTTCATTTTGTATCTGATTGTGGATGAACATCATTTGTTTTATTTGGCAAGAAAGGTTGCTCTTGCATGAAAGATCTGTTATCATCCTTCTCTCTTTTATTGGATATTTTATTCTTTTCAATATTATTTAATAATTTACTTTAATGCATTACCATTTTATTATTCTTATACACTTCATACTTTTATGTTTGTATAATTTTAAATATTTTATTTTTAATATTATTTTATTATTATTGTTATTTACACGAATTCTTTACATATATGATATTTATTAGGTAATCATATCTATAAGGATACATTGTATTTTGTATAAAATCTATCTTATAAAAATAATTATGCAGAGAAACAAAAGAAGAAAATATTTTTGTATAGTTCCCACAGCTCAGAACATTTTTTGAGTTCTATATATATTTTTTTAAATTTTATTAATACGTATTAATTGTACATATTCATGAGGTTCAGTGTGATGTTTCCACATGCATATAATATTCATTGACCAAATCCAACCTATCTTTTTTGAATGTCCCTGGCAACACTCTTCCCAATCTCTAGTAGACACATTCTACTTTCAAGTCAACATTTTTTAGCTTCTACATATGAAAGAGAACATGTGGTACTTGTCTTTCTGTGGCTGACTTATTTCACTTAATGGCTCCAGTTCCATCCCTTTTGCTGCAAATGATAGGTTTTTGTTCTTCTTTATGGCTGAATTATACTCCATTGTGTATATGTATCCCACATTTTCTTTAACCATTCATCTGTTGATAGGCTGAGTCTATCCTACTCAATTAGAAACCTATTGTTTATTTACTTTTGTTTGTTTTGTTTTGAGACAGGGTCTCACTATATTGCCCAGGCTGGCCTTGGACTCATAATCCTCCTGCCTCAGCCTCCTGAAAAAGTGGGATTGCTCTAGGAACATTTAATGGCTACTTTTTAGTCCTTTTCCTATATAAATATATGTGTGGACTTTACACAAAAATACTACATTACAAATGTTTTATAATCTGATATTGTCGTTACCTATGTATCTTATACATTACTATGTTGCTAAATATTTAGCTATAATACAATTTTAGTTTCTGGGTAGAATTCCATGATATTGCTATATCATAATATATTTAATGATCTCTTTTAAAACAACTTGGCCATTATTTTTAAAAGCTACTTCGTACAAGTATAAT